GCATGCCAAAGAGGGGAAGGTATTAACATATTTACAAACTGCTTACTCTATGGAAACTAGATGACATCTCAATGAGAAAAAGATGCACCTGGAAGCAACTCCCAACAGAGAAATGCTTAGGCCGAACGCTCCAACACTGCTTTCCATAATACCTTGCAGAGACGCGCTTTACGTAGGGTGTCCCCCCACCCAGCAAATGATTTCACAATGTTCACAGTTCTTGTTTATGAGAAGCTGCAATCTGTGGGGGTGCAACCGTAGGGCAGGTGACCTGGAGGCAGCACACATTACCCCCCCTTACTACCTGCACCTACTTACCCTCACCCCCAAGCGCTGCTGTACTCCTCAGCCCAGGCAGCACTGCCATTCCAGCCCACCCCCCAGCAGGATTACGCTGAACTTGCGCTGTGGTCTTGCCAAGCACGCAGCACGCAAGCCTCTCTTCCCCCCGGACCCTGACCCCTACCTCCAACCCATGCTTTCAGCCCCAGCAGATTTGCAGTGGCTTGATATCATGCTTATTTAATAAAATAGTCAGCATGGCTGTATCTACTAGTGCTTACAGAAGTGATTAAAAGCAACAGTCAGAATTTCATGAAAACTTTCATGGAAATAAGTAACTTATGGATGTGGGGGGGAAAAAAAAGCATTCCTAGGCCTAATCAAATGGAGGACACGCCTGAGTGTCTGATGGATCGAAAGTCGGGGAACTTTTTATTCTTGCACCAAGAGGCTATCACTGCAAGCAAGGACAAGGTAAGTGTTACGTAGCCACGGTGATCCATCTGCGGTTACCGCTTTTTAGCCTGTGACTGCGTGCCAAATTCTAAAACCCCCAGGTGCTATAGGGGAGGACAGAATCAATCACAAATGCTCTTTCTTTGCTGCGTCGTTCCTGTAGGAACTTAGACTTCTTCATTCCACTGTTTTCTAGAGTATTTCAAAGCTCCAGTTTTGGCCAAAACGTTCCATGTTGCCCTACCTGCTTTGCTGGGGGATGCAGTCCGTCCCAGGCTTTCCTTAGGCTGTCTGAATCACAAGGAAACAAGGTGGACTCCACGTGCTTTTGCTATTTTCCTTTCCTAACATTTCAGGACAGCTTCCATTCTCTTTTCAGAAAACCTTTATCATCCTGGTTATGTTACCCTGCTGTAGTAAGAAAAGGATGAAACTTTTACACACTAGTAGAGCAGAAAGGAAGGCCAGGGCCCTAAGAGCACAGTAAGATTTTGGCCGAATATTCCATTTTTCACTCTTGAAGGTCATGAGGCAGTGAGGACCAGGTGAAAACCAGAAAGTGAAATTACTGTTGATCAGATTTGGTTTAAAAACCTCCTTGAAATCCAATAAAACAAAAATAATGAGCAGCTTCCAGGGATACGGGGTTAGTAAGGGGCAACACAGGAGACCTACAGACTTTAACAACCTCATTAAGAACCAGGTGCAGATTGAACTAACAGAGCTGTATTTCTCTTTGAGAGGTATTTCTTCACAGCCAGATTTATTTGCATTTTAGAAGCAAGATGTCCATGAATTAAATGTCAGGGACAAATGGAAATGTCAACTACCCAACTCTTCTGTGCTTTAGATATCAGTTAAACCTTGAAAATGATAGAAAAAAAAACCAACCCCAAAACCAAACAAGCTGCTGAAATTTAAGGGATTTAAAGAGCTAGAATTGCTTTTGGTTTGGGACTGGCTAATTAAAATATCAATCTTATAAAAAAGTAACATTGGATTGCAGCTGATCTAATGAGATATAGGACGTTTGTACCCTTCATTCCAATGCACCGATTTCTCCCAGTGTTATGAACCTTTTCATGCCTTCTTCCACAAATTGCTAGGAAGCGCTGAGTTTCACCACGTGCCTCAAATAGCTAACATCTCACATCTCTGGGGCAGGAATG